CATCATTCAATAATTTGCCCAGAGAATCCTTCAGTAACTAAAGTTGAGGCTTGAATTTTTTCTTTAGTTCCCCAGCTTGAGAAATGTTGAGCATGTTTGTTTTTTTGACCCCAGATCTTTGCTCATTTCATTGTAATATTTGACTTTGTCTTCTTGAGCTGACCTTTGAAATTTTCTGTTCAGCTCTTGTGCCTCCTTATTTCTTCCATCTCTACACTGGAGTTTCAGTGTCTCTTCTGACATCCATTTTTTTTTTTTTTTTAAGTTTTTATTGTGAATTATGTGTTAGTTTACATGGGAGAACATTCTCCATTATCCTTACATTCATCCTATCATATTCTGTTTCAGTGCAATGATTACAATCCCCTGCACACATCATCAAACAATCAAAAGGTACACCCCACATGCCTGCTCCCAGGCCGCCAGCAAACAGTCCGTCTCCCTCCCTGAGTCCAGAGTCCCCAGCCACTCCTTCTCTCCATGTCATCATCTCTGCCTCTATTCCTGATGTCACTGCATTCCTGGACAGGGTCTCACACTTCGCTTTACTTCCTCCCTTGATGTTTCCAGGGATTTTCTGCTCCTGGACTGCAAAATCAGCCACTTCCCTCCTTTTGTTACAAAACATTTACATTGACCTTTTTAACACTCACTGTCAGACCTGATAGCAATCATTCCCTATTGAACCACAGGAGTCCTATTCCCCACACCTTATATCAACTCCATCCAGACAGGTTGGAAACAACTCAGTGGAGATTCTACCTTTCCACGTACCCTCTGGAACTAGGTTCCCTATTGAAAGCTTGTAAGCTAGTCACTTCTTGCCTTTGTAGTCCCCCCCATTTTGGGTAGCCAATGTCTAGGTTCCCCATCCTTGTTGGCCCTATGTACCGAGGGGGTGGGTATGATCTTCACTGTAAAGATTTGTTCACTCCTTTCTGACATCCATTTTGATCTTTTCCTTCTTTCTTGTCTTCTCAATGACTTTTTGCTTTCTTCATGACTGATGTTCTTAATGTCATCCCACAATTCTTATGGTCTTAGGTCTTTAGTGTTTAATGTATCAAATCTGTTATTCAGATGATCTCTTAATTCAGGTGAGATATGTTCAAGGTCATATTTTGGCTCTCATGAACTTGTTTTCATTTTCTTCAGCTTCAGTTTGAATTTGCCTATGAGCAATTGATGGTCTGTTCCACAATATGCCCTTGGCCTTGTTTTGACTGATGATAAAGAGTTTTTCCATTGTCTCTTTCACAGATGTAATCAATTTGATTTCTGCGTATTCCGTCTGGTGATGTCCATGTGTATAATTGTCTCTAATGCTGTCTAAAGAAGGTATTTGAAATGAACAAATCATTGGTTTTGCAGAATTCTCTCATGTGATCTCCAGCATCATTTCTATCACCAAGGCCATGTTTTCCAACTACTGATCCTTCCTCTTTGTTCCCAATCTTTGCATCCAATCACCAGTAATGATCAATACATCTTGATTTGTTTGATCAATTTCAGATTGAAGAAGTTGGTAGAATTCTTCTATTTCATCCTCACTGGCTTTAGTGGTTGGTGCATAAATTTGAATAATAGTGGTATTAACAATGGTTTTCCCTGTCGGCGCATGGATATTATCCTATCACAGACAGTATTGTTACCTCATGACTAATCTGGGTATGTTCTTTTTGACAATGAATGCAACTCCATTCTTCTTTAATTTGTCATTCCCAGCATAGTAAACCATGTGGTTGTCAGATTCAAAATGGCCAATACCAATCCATTTCAGCTCAATAATGCCTAAGATATTGATATTTATGCATTCCATTTCATTTTTGACAATT